TGTTCACTGTAAGGTGGGCACTGCCCAGCAGTCTGTTGTGAGAAGGAAATGATGCTGCCTGGAAAGAACTAACAAGTATTTACAATGTTAATCGTTACTGTTCCTGCCTGCTTGATATCATATACTCGACGGAGTTCATTCTCAGTGCACTTAGTAGCACAATGTGAGAGCTACTGGGGTTCAGAAGAGAATAAAGTGGATGAAACCTGAGTGGAAAACAGATGTTGATATACCCCTAAACTCCTTTACATTGTCATTCCACTGCAAATAAGGTAGCCTGAAGAGTGAATTTTGATGTAGGCTGGTAAGACCATCTTCCAATAAAATAAATGGTATTTTACTTCTGATCAATGTAAAACTACTTTAGGACAAAAATAAAATGTGAAGGGATCAATGTAGTTGGGAATGACATTGCCAGCATTTCTCAAGTGAAAGGTATTTTCCATAAGCAATTTAACTGGACTCCAGAATATTTAAATGGTATTTCTTGAATGTGACAGGCATATTTGCAAATGTACTGAGGATTTAGTCATCCCTCCTGATTTCAGGAATAACATCATTCTTGATCTAGTCATTGTGAGGTGTGAATGATTCTCTAGAGCTTTTGCAAAGGGCAGGATGTATCTTTCAAACCACAGTGAGTTTTCCATTATCTCTCAGCAGATAATTGGTTTTGTGAATCATCTTCAGGGGCCAGGAACTCTCTCTGCTTAACACAGAGAGTGATTAGCTGGTGTTTGTATAAATGAATGCATATAATCTGAATATATTAACAACCCAAAGTAAATGGTCTGGGGGTGATTAAGTTTGTGTTTCATTGAGAATATCTGTACCTTTTCTCTCATTTACTAATATAGATGTGTATATATATACATACATACACACGGAGAGAGCTCAGAAGGTCTGTGTATTGACCTATTTGGAAATTCACTGGTTTTGAATTCTTTGCTTATCATAAAAAAACTCTATTTTTAGGAGTGCCTAAATGACTTCACTTGCCTCTTAGATCAGACTCAAACCCCTCAATCAGTATTTAAGACCCAGCTTCCCTAACCAAATTTACTGTGCCACCTTCCCAGAGTCCTTATCATTCCAAGTCACACGCTTTTCATAGTTCAAAATGAGATTCACTCCTACAAACCTTTGGACTACCATCATCAGAGTGACAATAATTTTTATTTGCAAAGAGTAAAAATATTTGTTCTGAAATTCTTCTAAGCCTGGATCTTCCATAGCTGTTCTTTGTCTTCCTTCTTTCTTTGATAAATGTAGTATTTTCTGTGTGTGTGTCTGTGCATCATCCAACAGTCTACTGTGGTACCTCAGTGGTTTCTAATGAATGCTTATTGAATGAATGATAGAACATAGAACTGGAATGGATGCCAATCATCCAGTTTTTGATGTTTCTTCAGCTTAACTCCATAAATATTTATTGGGATCTTCCTTGGATGAACTGCATAATGGAAATGAGAGAGTTCGACATTGACTAGACAGTATTGCACGTACTGCATGGCTACCTGTCCTGTTTTTTAAAAGTTTCCAATGGTCAGAGGATTCAATGGCAAGAAAATATTATCTTGTCTCTAGTAAAACATTTATGACATGGTTGTTCATGAATAACCTAAGCATAAAAAAAGCAGACATGGTGAAAGTCATCATCATTATGTGTCTTTGCTCCTAAATTTAAAAAAAATTCCAGTATGTTGACTTACTTTTGAAACTGGTGGGATTTCTACATGGTCATAGTAGAATTTTTTTTCCTGTCTTTTTTTTTCTTTTTTAAATGTTGATTAAAAAGTGGCCCTAAGAAAATGGAAAATAGGGCTGGGGATACAGGAATGTATTTTATATATTTCAAGATCATTTCTGGAATTTGGAGTTCAAATTTAATAGGATATTATAGATAGATATGACTATTTGAGACCAGAATATACATACCTATGTTTGGATGCAGCTACCTCTCAAAATGTCTGGCTTCTTTTTCCAGTATAATAAACAAGCCAGTTTAAGAATTTGCACATATTGTGGAGCTAAAACAGATGTATTTCCACAGGTAAGAAGTTCGTGTGCTTGCAACTGAAACCCAGTAGGAATAATTTAAGATGCTGGAAATCTGAGTCATGATTGATGAATGGAAAGTTTTTCTAAACCTTTGCTCATTCAGTTTTATTTTTAAATTGTTTAAAAGCATTTTAATGTCATCAGAACAAATTATTGTCGATATCTTCACTGTTTAAAAATATTAATGGCATTAATATTTTATTTTCATCCCACATGTAGTCATGTATGATTTTGACATGAATGGTATTTTCTGTGGATGAACAGAAAGGAAGAGACAATCAGTGATTGACAAATAAACACGTAGACACTACAGGAAAGAAGGAAGAGAGAGCGTGTGATATCTGCAAATGATGCAGATTGCTACCAAAATCATTAATAATAAGCACTTAAAATAGAGTCTGCGGCCCTGAATGGAGGTTACTTAAAGAGCAAATTGCTGTCCTAAGCCTTTGTGCTTTATTTCTCAGGAAAGCAGTCACCAACTGGTCCCACTAGAAAACTTTGAATGAAATAAGGCAGCAGTTAAAGGACAAATATTAGTGTAGGGTTCCTGTGGGCCACAGAGTTTGAACACAGAATTGGGGGCTGTGATTGAGAGACTTTTCCCTAGGGCTTGGAGCACAGATATAAGATAGGTATAGACTTGGCTAAAAACTTCAGGTCAGTGGTCAAGGTCAAACTGAGAGCTTGGGATATAGAGTGTGTCAGGGGTCATAGGTCAGCTCTTCTTAGAAAGCTGGCTGTACTGAGAGCAAAGGTAGAAACAAGCATATAGGACAAAAAATGGGCACACAAGTCAAAATCAAGAGATTAAGACGGTGGATGGGTAGACCAGAAGCCCAGAATGTTGTCAGGATACCCTTATAAGGGAAATACAAAGGAGAAGCCAGCAGGACAGTTGAGACAGGGAAATTGCAAGGAGAGATCTCTCTGGTGTCAGAGGCAGCCAGGAAGAAGTCAAGATTTCTATTATTGGTGAACCACATCTCAAGAATAGTTAGCCTTGTAGCTGTGAGTAATGAGAGTAAACTTCTGCTGTAGCAGAGAGGGACACAGAAGAACTGTGCAAATATTCCATTCATCTGGGCAATTTATTAGAGTTAGGAGTTTGTCATAAGTGCATGAGGGCATTTCTGTACTGTCAGAAAGTATAATGATGACTGCTTAAGCTTATTGAATATATCAGATAAAATTTTATTGTATTATAATTTATAATAATTTCTCTTTTCGAAAGGTTAAAATGATTTTGTGCTTAAAAGAGAAAAATATGTATCTGCAAAATCTATTAATGTGCCTCAATTCCCATTGATAGTGAGATATTGGGAGCCATGGTGTCTGATAGGAACATTTTAATTCAGATGTCAGTCATTTTCAATTTACTACTTTTGTCTCAACACCTGTGGTTTCTGGCTCTGCCTTGGCATTATGGTAGGTGTGTATTGCTATGCATTGAACTCCTTATACTGTTTCTTTTTGAATTCCTTTTCTGGACCCAGCTTCCCCAGCCACCTTTAAAAATAAATGCTCTATTTTCAGTATATAATCATCTCCTGCACCTAAGAATGTTTCCTTGTGCTTTTCCTTACGCATAACATTTTTATATAGTGATGACTATAAATTCTTAAGGAATTGATAAAGGTTGAAAATGGGCCAGTTCTTTCAGGGAGTTTTTATCATTTGAGTCATTGCACATGGACCACATCCTTTCTTATTATGGATGTGGCACTGTTTGCCTGGCCACACCGACACTTTGCATCCATTGACTACAGAGACCTCTGCAGACTGCTGTGGTGACATGAAAAATGAAAGGGTCCTTGTGGCCCTGTAGGCGGTTACATTCTGTACCTTTGGTAAAGCAGTGGAGCTGTGAAGAATTTTATAAGCATTTCCTTTTCTCTAGTCTTGTGTTGTACCCCGACTGCATTGACCAGCTTTTGCCAGAGGAGCAAGCACAGCCCCGTGAGGCTGTGTACAGTCATCAGAATTGGATGTAGATGCATCATTGAATTAATTAAAGAGTCACTTTAGATTTGCAGATAAAAGAAAGTAGTAGATCCCCAGGTATTTTTGTACTTCTCACCCAATTGATGTATTTAGAAATAGAAGGATTTATTTGCAGCTATTATTTCCTCAGGGGCAGTCGGCAGATACATTTATTTAACCACTACTATTTATACAGACTGTGAGTTATGAGGTGACCTCCATCTCAGCAAGATAAATCCTGGTACCCAGAGTCCAGCCAGCTTCGTCTGTTGCTGTGTGGCTGAAGTGGATATTGAAATTTGTTTTCTTGGGAAGGCAGGAAAACCCCACCTCGCACGCTTAGGTTGCTGTGCGTGGGTTATAAAACTGCCAGACACCTATTCAGCTGGGGGCATTGCTCGTCTTTATTGAGCAGGAATCAGGTTCTGATTGTCTGCAGGGCTGTTTTGGACCCTAGTGTGCGCACACCTCCAAGATCACCGGCTCGCCGCTAATAACTGATAAGCTGTGTGCTCTTAGACACAGGACACAGAGACAAGCTGTATCACCCACAAGGTACTCACTGAAACCCCGTGAAGTAACCCCGGGGGCAAGCGGCCACATTTTCTGAAGACTTTCCTGCTGCGTCTTAGATGCCCGATCGCCTCTATTACTCTGCTGTGCTTCATTTACAGTGCCCAAGAAGATCAAAGCCGTGCAATGTGAATTTTTTTGCTTCGTGTAAATTTAAGCATGGCCTCAAAGGCTTGTTTCCTCTCTCTTGGAAAAGCAATTTAGCTTGCAGAAAATAATTAAACCCGCAGTATCTTGCAATAATTAGACATTTGAAATGGGGAGGGTTAATTATTTCAGTCCGATTTGGCTGCCCAATAAAATATTCAAGGACAGCATCCAGACAGTTACCGACTTAATTTACAATCCCAGTGCGTTCACTATTTGTACCCTTTTCCCTGCAGGATCATGCAGATTTGCGAAGCCATTTCTTCACAGTTGGGATGAAGCTAGAAACAGTGAATATGAGTGAGCCCTTTCATATCTGTCCTGCATCAGTGACCAAGGTGAGTTTCTCTCCCTTGCTCTTTACCTCAACTTCCAGAGTGGATCAAATAAATCTTTCTACTCAAAGCCAACCAGGTGGAATATGTTTGCAGAAGGGTATTCCATAATGCCCAGTAACCGTAAGGTGCATTGCCTTCTCTCCCATCCAGTGCTATTTGAAGCTCTCTCTTTATCACTGGTAGCACAGAGCGAGTCTGATCAGATGTCCCCTCGTGTAGTGGTTGGGGTGTTTCTCTTGTCTTCTGATAGTACAGTATGAGGACACTCCTGTCTGTGAGTGGCCTGGAGGAAGGCTCAGATGCATGTGCATGGCTTGTGAACTTGCTCCTCCTGCGCTGATAGTATTTAATATGATGGATCTATTTATATTTTGAAAATACCTGAAAATGGTGAAAAGCAAATTCCCATTGCCAGTGTGTCAGCCCTTCTACTTCCTTTTAATCATCTGCTTTCATTGACTGAAGGGAAAGTCATGCTTCTGAGATTTGCAGATTTAAAATGAAATTACTTTTTCATGTAAAGGCATTTTTATTATGGTCTGATAGGCTTTTAAGATTATAATTTTCCTTCTCCATTGAAGAAATCTAAATGAAGTCGGCTATGGTAACATCTAAAGTATGTGTTTCTACCTTAAGGATCTCTTGTAAATGGTGGAAGAGACCAGCAAACTTAATGTCCGTTTTAGTTAATGGCCTTTTGTGTATTTCCTGGAGTAGGTAATTAACAGTTCAAAAGTCAATTCTATGGATTCAAACCCAGGTCTCACGATGCCCACTAAAGTGATGTTTAATGTTTTAATTCCTTGTAGGCATAATGCTCTAGTCCAAACAAATGACTTTGCAGATAAATCCCAACCAGCTTTGCTAATCACTAGCTGAATAAATTACTTATGTTTTAAGTACCTTAGTTTTCATATCTAGTCAGTAGGTACTATACTGTCCACTTCATGTCCTTCAGAGAAGTGGGGAATCATGTATGAAGTGCCTGGCACAGTGCTTGGCACATGGGAATGTTCAGTAAAATATTGACTGCGTTCAGCCAAACCTTTGGTCCCTCTTATGGGTGCTATATTATCACAGTTAACTTCCTAGAAGAAAGCATTTCATAGGCATCTGGGGAATCCAAGGGACCTGCTGAGTCATCTTACCCTTGTTAGCTGGTGAAATATAAGTCTGATTGTTTTAGAAGTGAATTTTGAGTTTGTTTCTTACACAGTGCTGTGGTGGTTAATCGAAGCTATGTATCACCAGCGTTAGCAAAGGGCCAGCCCTCCAGCTGGAATCAAAAGTCCAGTGAATCATTCAGGACACTTTATTTTCAACATCCCTCCTGAAGAGAAAAGGGAACCATGTCAGTTTCCCTTTAAAACCACACACATTGCTGAGTCCCCCGCGGGCTCGCTGTGCGTGCAGAGCGGCTGCGGTGAAAATGCCGCCGTGTGAAGAGGGTGATGAAGGTGGACCGCAGCGGGCTGCCCCTCAGTGGGCCGGGGCATCAGCCATCCTTAGGCCGAAAAGAACGCTTTCGTGATCCAACAGGATACCTCTAATTTTACATTTCCTCTCATCTTCCGTTTGCTTTCCCATTTTGGAAACATACCGACTGCTGATCAGACTGCTTTTGGTTCCTATGGAGACATGGTCTGTCTTGAAATTTGTGATCCAAGAGGAAGAGAGAAGAAATTGTATTTTGATTTTGAAGTATTTGAAAAACTTGTTCGGTTATCTACTGTGGGCTTTTGTATTTCACTATTGTGGGCAGCTCAAAGAAAGGACTCCTTTGTGCATTTTTTTCTGAGAGTCTTGATCAGTGAAATACTTTTCCAAAGAAATAGTCACATAATTAATATGAATAAATCAGTTGGGTCTATTTATTCGTTCCTCATTACAAGAATATATTTGACCTTGGGAGTAAAAACAAAGGCATTTCTTTGATGTTACTTCACATGGCAGGATGTCCCGGCTGCATTTGGGGTATGATCAGATGTGTCCTCAGTAGCTCCCATAACTGTCGCACAGGACTTTTCAACCAGACAGTGATGATGTGAAATGTATGACCCCCAGATGTGGGGTCCTAGAACGTGATCCTTTTGGTGTCACAGATTAATTTCTGAATTGTATAAAGTTGAAGACACTAAAAAAACACACACCCTAATTCCATTTTAATTTCTTTTTTCCGAAAGAGAGTGGATTTGTTAATGTAGTGACAAGTGCTTTCAAGTTACTCGAGTTGTGCGTTTTTAATTTATGGTTTGGCATAACTACGTAAGAGAAAAAACACTGACTTACGCTTTGAGCGATAATCTCTCGGCTGAAATGCGAGCTATCGTGTTTATACACCGTTCACTAAAAACCTTTGATTTGAAATGACCTTCGGGGTTCTTTACTATGTATTCTGGTTATTGTACATTTGTAGAAAACTAAAGAGTGATATCTTGTTGAAACCAGACCATAATTTCCCTTTGAGCAGTGGGTGATACAGTGAAGCCAGCTGCTCATTTATCTGGATATATATCGCCCTGTCCTCATTCTAAGAGGCTGTGGTGTCAGCTTCACTTGGAATTTATTTAAAAAAAAAAAAAAAAGCCAAACATGCAAATGTGCTTAGCCTGTCAGGGGTAGGTTTTCACATTTTTATGCCTTTAAATAGTTACATATGTAACATTAGGGTGTGACATATTAATTATCGTTAGTTTTAGCCAGAATATCTTTATCTTGTTGGGTAGACTTCCAGTAGCAGTAGTTTGGTTTCCACAAAAAAAGTTTACTACCTAAATAAATCTTATTGGGGCCTGTGGGTAGGGAGAGATTTTCTCTGATTTTTAGGATACATTTTTGTTTTTATACTTCCTACTCTTTGTATTAGAGAGAAAATACTTAAGTCATTCTTTCTTACATACAACTCCTTCCCTTATTGGCCATGTGCTGTGTAATGCGTGGACTTGGAGGAGCACCTCCCCAGGTTTAAGACTCACTACGTGTAACAGTATTAGAATAATCTCCATGTAGAAGGTATTTATAAGTAAATAGGTTTCTTTCAACACTGGAAAATGTTTTAGAATATTAAGTTTGAGAATACAATGCACTATGTGGTTATTAGTCACCATAATGAAATTTTCATTTTTATATTCTCTGGGGCTTTTCTTGATAGCTGTTGAAGAAATAAATAACGTTAAAGCCAACAGACAGATAAGCATGTAGCAGGTCCAATTAATGCCCAACCGTTAGCAGTGCAGTGGGATTATGTTTTCAGTGTTCCAAAGTAGTAAGATATTGACAGATGATGGTGGTGATGACACTATCATCTATTATGTGAAATATATTCCACTTTTTAGAGCAAAGGATACTAGAATTAGAAGTCTTGGGCTCTGTTTCTATTTTTGCTAGCTCTGAGCTGCACAGCCTTGGGCAAGTTGGTTAACTGCTCCGGGCTTCAGGTCAAGACCAGTGTGTTGACCAGATGGACCAGTGTTTCTGAACCATTTAGCTTTTTCTCTGAGGTAATAAGTAAGCAAATACAGTATGTTACATGTTGAATGAAAAGGAGAAAGATACGTCAGGGAAGGGACTAATGGAGTGTTGGTGGAGGGAAGGAAGATGTGATTTTAAATTGGGTTGTCAGGGAAGGGCCTCCCTGGGAAAGTGATGTTTGATCCTTTGCAAAGCTCAGGCAGCAGGACTCTATTTACTGGAATTAACTTCAAGAAGAACTGAAGTGAGTTTACTCTCCTGCTTATCTTTGAACTAGGTTGCTTCTAGAAAAGATTTTGTAAAGGAAGGAGCCAAGAATCGTAGCTTAAGGAGAGTGTCAGGGTTTCCTGAGAAAACCCTGGCTGATTTCTGTTGAGTTGGGAAAGTGCTGTTTTTTCTCTGGTCTGTTTTACATACTTGGTGCTTTAAATCTGTCACGCTTTTCACTGTTGGGGTTCACCTGATTCATGCACCTTTCTTTTTCCGTCAGCATGCCTTGTTCTTATTTCCTCCTGGACTTCTTTTCCCCCTTATATTCTGTGGATGATTATCCAGTTTCTGTGTACAGAGCGCTTTCCCTGCATGGTGGGAATACCTTGATGGGGAGCTAAGAGACCACAGTCCTCAAGGCACTTAGGATCTGTTGGGGGAGACAGATGTGCTATCAGTCCACAGGGGGGAAAAAGGGATTTTCAGTAAAGAGATTTAATCCTGATGATTTGGGGGCACAGCAAGGAGGGGCCCTTTTTTCCAACTGAGTGGTTGGGAAAGCGTCCCAGCAGCATTGACTTTCAGGATGGGCCTCTAAAAATGCACCGTGATTTGATAGACTGACAATGGAGTGGGGTGTAGACTGTGAGAATGCTGACTAAGGGCAGGCCTGGCGTGAATGATCTCCTCTTGGGC